TTTGTCTTTTGTATTGATGGTTGGGGTGTTACATGGGATGTGCCTGTCTCTTATTATTATTTATCAAATTTATTTGCCGTCCATCCATGGTTTGAGGCAATTCTGAGAGGAGTCATATCATGACAATCATGTCTATTATATGTGTGCTTTGAGTCTACATAAAAGCCAGACATTTGTTCCTGAATTCATCACTTTATTCAACAAATCTTTACTTAGGGAATATTTACACATAGCATATTACAGCGAATTGGAATTTTTACCACTGCATAATGAATTTTAATAAGCAGCAATCCAAACTATGATAAAACATAAAATTCAAATATACTCACGGGGAGCTCCTTCTGCCATTTCGATGGCTGTTATCCCTAAAGACCACAAATCACTCTGAAAGAAATAACCAAGAGTACAAAACTTTCAATGATGTACAACATATGAGAGTTACTACTATATAGGAAGGGCTTTTGGTACCTTAGTTCTTTAAGTTTCCTCAAAAATTGTCTGAATAAGTTCTGGATCTTTTCATTCCTCAAATTCACTTGGGCCTTTCATAAACCCATTTTATCTTCTTTCCAATGTCAGAGAGGAGCACCCCATAAATTAAGAGAAACGCAAACCAAAATACCGTGCTATTTTAGTACACTGAAGCTATATAATCCAATGCAATTCCCTATCAATAAGAACTAAATATTTGAAAAAATAATAATTTTGCATGAGTAAAATACTACCCCTGTTTTTCTTATTTCTCCAAATACTTTTAAACTCTTAATCTTACCTTCCCTAATTTGGACAACTTTCAGACTTATAGCTTTACAAACACACACACACACACACACACACACAGCTCTATTATTCAAAGTATAACAATGGAGTAAGATATAATAAGTAAAAAAATTGATGCAGAAATTAAAAGGAAAGAAAATTAAACTAAATCTAGTTTACACTAATACTATTTACAGTACTATATCTTTCTACATCTTTCTGACCTTATAAACCATCCTTACTTCTTCCATCATAATAAAACTTTCTTAAGTATTATCTATACTCTCAATCTATTTGCTCTTCCTTTGTATATTTGTTTTGTGATTTAAAACTGATTATCTCAAGATGTTTATTTCCAAATAGTATTCAACCTACATGTATTTGTCTATAGTTGATTCTTGTTCCAATCTTTTTTTTTTGCCTTATATGTCATACAATTCTTAGTAAATTCATTCCGACTGCAAACAATTGCCTTTTATGTTTCTTCAATCATACCAAACTCTTATATTATATGAATTATTATATGTGGATATTAGTCCTTAGAATTGTAGAAATGGTTATTATTGGGAATTGAAGACTACATTTGTTGAAGCTCAGTCACTGACGTGTAATCTTTGGGAGAAGAAAAAGAACTATCTTAACGGGAAATTGCAAGAATAATAAGATATGGAAAACTGATTGCTAATCATTGAAAGGCCTTTGTAGGTCTTCAAGAAACTGCTTTTGAGAAAAATGGGTTTTTGAGAAACTAATCACGAAAATAACAAGTATTTCATCAAGTTCAACCTTCTTCAAAGCACAACAGACAAATTTCTGCAAAAATACTACTAAGAAATCTTAAATCTGACATTTGGTAAAAGCAATGAAAATTGATTTCAAGGCACTTGTAAAACTGAAAAACTGCCTTAGAAAACAGACATGGGCCTTTTGGTTTCTACCTAATAAATCATGTATATATTGCATTAAGAATATCTTCTGAATTGTGAGTCTAAGTCTACACTACAGATCATAGATGGCATGTCCTTGGGAGACACAGTCAAGAGATGTCATCTCAGATAAGAGACTATATATAGCCCTATATAACAACTAGATGGTGGCCAAGGCAAGAAGCTTAGAAGAGATCCTCAGGCTGTAAAAGGAGACAGTGGGAGATTTGTACTTTCAGATTTCCATGATCCCATTAATATAGCTTTACAATAAAGTAGAATTAGCCCATCTAGTCATGTTTCCTATCTGGTCTGCCTAGTAAAGTTGACACTCTGTCTTGGAATACAAATATTTCTTCTAATCAATATTTTTGGTCTGTTCCAGTCTGTTTTTTTTTAGCATCACAGTTGTTTTATTATTTTGCATTCTTACTTTTGATTATCTGAGTCAACTCTATAGAAATACTTTCCTTTCCACTCTTGTCTAATGTTGATTCTTCTCTTTCCACCTTTCTCCTTTTTGTTCATTTAGTTTCTTCTACTCGTTCCTGCCTGCTGTTTTCTTTCTTTTTTTACTTCATTCCTGAGTGCCCTTTGCAAACCCTACTAATGGGATAGTTTCACTAATATTGTAAAATGCTTGTAAATAAAGGTAGGTTTGTGTATGTAGGATAGAAATATGCATGTAGACTTTTTGTAGCTGTGTGCATGAGTACCTGTTATCTCAGCTTTATGTAAAAACAATTTAATAAATGAACAGCCTTCTTGGTGACCTCAGCAACTGGTTATCCCGTTTCTCTATAGACCCCAGGAAATATCATTCTATGGAATTACAGATTTGTGAAAAAACACTTCTGGAAACTGTTTCCAAATTACAGGCCCAAATTTCTTTTGTAAAGCAGAAAGATGGAGAAAATGTGGTCATGAAGCTATTATAGAATTAATGGAGATTTATATTATAGATTTGCTCATCAAACTTTCCAATTTGAGTCAAAAACTATGTCTCAAATTTGAGGGGGGGGGAACAGAAACACACATTTGTTCTCTTGCCCTTACGGTTGTTACCATTATATATTAAAGTTTGGATGTTGGAATGCCAGACCTGTCAAATTTTCTTTTTCTCTGCCAAGAGATCTCTCTGCTTTCTTTTTATTTAAAAAAATGGCAGCTAAGAATGGAATAAAGAGAAATTAACAACCGTGTTCCTAACTTATCAGCTGCAACGATTCACTTAACAACTGTGGCAAGAAAGGTTAAAAATGGGGGGAAATTCATGTAACAACTGCCTTGCTTAGCAATAGAAATTTTGGGCTCAATTGTGGTTCTATATTGAGGTTAATAGAATAATCAGTTCTATTAACCACCCCTGAAGCTCTGACTTTAGGCTTACAATCTATAAGTAACCAGCCCATTTTTTTGGTGTTTTCCATGTGTCTGTCTCTGCTATCCCTACTTATTGTAGTTAATTGTAGTTAATGACTACATTGGGAGAAAAAGGAAAAATGCATATAGTCCCACAGCACTGATAAAAGCATTTGGCCCGAAAACTAAAATTTTAACTGCAATGACAAGTCCCAAATCAATATCTTTCTGGTGACTGCCTTATGGAACGTTTTTCTCTTTAAGCTCTGTTCAGAACAAAAAACCAGCAAGCAATCTATTTAATGATGGCAAAACAGAAGGTCTGCAGAAGGTCTTTTGACAAGTTTCTCTTGCTCAGAAAATGGATCTGCTGTCTGCTTTTATGTGAGCATACAAAGGGGATTTCAACTTTCTTAACCAATAAGGTTAAGAAGGTTGCTTGCCTTTTATCTTTCTCAAGAAAATAAAGTTTCATGAACACATAGCTTTGAGTGCCCCACAATCCTCATATATTTAAGGAAAGATGTTAAATTACAACGTTTTTAGCACGCCTGATGTTCCTCTGTAGTGATGCTCTTGTAAAGTTAAGCTGAAGATATCAAACGGCCCAAAGAGCAACAGTGAAATTTGATGAGGGGCAGATTTAAATCTGGATTTTCTCCCTATTTGAGGGAGAACCAGTGTGCCTCCACTTTTACCTGAACCACAAAGTAGCATTAGTTCAAGATAAATATGTCTAGACAATCTTTTAATATCAGAGAAAGAGCATTAAGTAAGCTCTGCAACCAGGGGTGGGCTGCTGGGGGTTTGCAGGGGTTCGGGAGAGCCCCTAGGTAACATTCTGTGCAGTTCAGAGAACCCCCAAATCCCACTCCTGGCTGGCCCCACCAATCCCACCCCGCCCCTCCCAGAAGTCCTCACGTGGGCCGTTTTGGATGCAGGTAAGTGTAGGGTGCGTGCAGAGGCTTGGGGAGGGTGAAAAACGGGCCTCCTGGAAGTTTGGGAAGGCCTGAAATAGGCCCGCTTCCAGCTTCCAGAGAGCCTCCACAGCCTGGGAGGGCCGCTTTCACCCTCCCGGAGGCTCGAAGAAAGCCTCCAGAGCCAGGAAAAAACACCTCTCCCGCCATGGGGCAAGAGGCCGACTAGGCCATGCCCACCATGGCCACACCCACCCAGCAACTGGGCAGAGAACCCTTTGCTAAAATGTTTGAAGCCCACTCCATCTGGCTTATAGTTATAAGCCTTTCCCTCTTTGGGGGTCTTTCTTTGCCTTCTGTGCTGATTTGTGATCTGAAATCTGTGCTTCCATATAATTGTGCCATGGTCTCCAGTTCAAAGATATTGCTGGGATAATTCTCCTGCAGAATCAGGGCAGGAAAATCACAGAAAGATTTTTAAAATAGCTGAGGACCAAGCAACTGCTTCAACAGGTATGTTCAATCTGTATGCTTTTCCTTTGAAGAAAAATTAATCTTTTCTGTTGTAAATTGTTTCTTTGAGAATTTTCCCCTTTTTCCAATGTGTTCATTGCAAAAAGCAACTTCCATAAAAGAGGACGGCACATATACAATAACATCATGACCCAAATCTTGCCCTTACATAGTGTCCTTACAAGTACAGCATCGGCATCAAGACATCTTCACACAGTTTTCATCATCTATCCCCTTGACCCCTTCTCTGAAACAATTCTTTCAAAATAACATTAAGCGGACACACAAGCACAGAGATACAGCGACACACAGCTCAGGGTTTTGATTTGAGGTCTGATCTCAAATGTAGCCCTGCAGCTTTTTTCCAAAAGAAAAGCTAACAGGTTTATGGGTTTGAAAATTAGAAAGGGTAGCTTACGGAAAGAAGAAAATTATAATGCAACATTAGAGAGAGAGAGAGAGAGATTCAACACAAAAATGTGTAAGGATAAAGATGGTAATCTTTCTTATTTCTATTTTCTTTTTTCACTATTTACTATTCTTCTTTATTATCTTTTTTTCCTCTTATGGTTTTTAACTTTGTTAAGCCTTTCTGTAAAAGAAGGAAAGAATGAAAGAAGGAAGGAAGGAAGGAAGGAACGAAGAAAGGAAGAAACACACTAAAGTTAGGATTAATACAAGATAATAATTTGCTATCTAATTGCACACACTTTTCATTATTAATTAAGCCATACACATTATGTTTCCTCTGAAATATTGTTTCAGGACTGGCTGAGACCCAAATCTGGATTTTTCAGTCTGTACAACAACGAACTTTTCAAAGCTCTGAATGTAAAGGAAACACAAACAGCATAGCCTTCATGTACAAATACCTAAACTCAGCTTATATGGGATATACATTCTTTGATTAAACTGAAAACTTTACCTGAATCAGTAACGAAATTCCTTTCCCATATGTCTCTGGATATCTTTCTTGTCATCTTGTATATTTCACCCATAGTCCAGCAACTTTCTTAATAATCTAGCTTAATGTTCTCTCTCATAAATAGAAATGCTTCCTATCTTGCCTGTAATATATTTTGTCCTTAAGATTGCTCCAGTACGTAAATCAGGTCTGATCTTAGATCTCCTTCAACCCATACTCTTATTTTCTGTGACTGAAACTGGCTTTAAAACAGTTTTGGTTACTATATGTGATCCTATGCCAATAGCTATAGATACCTTGAAATCATAAGTTGCATCTGGGTTTTCATCGCAGGCGATGACCTCAGGTGCCATCCAGTAGGGTGTTCCAATAAATGTATTCCTTCGTCCAACTGTTCTGTCTAGTTGAGCGCTGACTCCAAAATCCACTAGGAATTGAAAATAGGAGAATTTGAATGAAGTAAAAGCTAAAAAAAAGTTGGTCTCACTAAAAGGACATAAAATAAATTTCACATCAGATGACCCCGCCCCCCCATGAACAAGGCAATTCATTTCAGAGTACTAGAAATTTCAGCTCCTCACCCCACCTATAATTTTTCTCCTATATCAAATAGATTTGAGGGTTAAATCAAATAGTCCATTTTGTAGATCAGAATTTTTATGGAATTCAACAGGTGAAGAAGTCTTTTTAAAAAAAGATGTTGGACATCTGATGAAAACATATGAGGCTTTGGAATTCTCATAAGAAACCTTGTGAAATGTCATAAAATACACCTTTATTATTGTAAAAACAAAACAAAATCAGGAAACTGAGATCTCTTTTTCCAACTAAGTCAAACAAGAATAAGGTAATATCACAGCATTTCAACCTCTCAGGATACTATAGCAGATAGTATCATGCGACTTTAGGAATGTGGGACTTTAATAGCACCATTGAAGAAGAAATTGTTGAATTCACATATCAAAAGGTTTTGTGCAACTTCACAAGTTTTTAAAAATATATTACAATTGTTAATTAATAAAGTATTTGTAATTTGTCTTATTTATAACCTTCATCTAGCTTCCGCTCTCTTGTCCTACTTTTCCCTACCTCACCCCAATTCAAATTCTACATCAATCTAGTCACTCTGCACATCTAATAAAGTGAACTACAGTTCATAAGCGCTTTGAACAAAATTTGTTAGTTGGAAAAGGTCTACCAGATTCCTGATCAAGCTTGTCTTGTGACAAGTCTACAAAAGGAAGCATCTTGATTATTGTAGATCATAAAAAAGAGCCACAGGCCAGAAAAGACTTCTAACACTTATGCTAGAAACTTGAAATGGAGTTATCTAAAATTTCATTCATATTTTTAGAAGATGCATTTTAGTATTTCCTTCCTTGCTGGTTATGAATCTATATCAAGACTGTATCAAATACCATTTTGTAATGATTCAATTATGAAAGTAATAAAAAGGCAAATAAAATCCCTGTTGTGTCCTATTTCATGGCTCCAGATTTTTTTTTTTTGATACTGTTTGAATTTTGGATTAGTACTGAGTCAGATCATATACCATTTCTGGCAAAATATAACAAAGTTTTTTTTAAAAAAGTACCATAGACCTACGTGTTGAGCTACTTGAAGAAATGCATTGTAGCTCAGTTACAGTAGAATTGCACAAATAATACTGCTGACCTCTTCTAGTTATTTTTGAGACCAACTCTACTTTAAACATTCTGGCCACATCCTTTCAAGGACCAAGTAATGTTTAATGTATAAATCCTTGAAATAGTGTCCTTTACCTATTCAATACCCATCCAAAATTAACATATTTTAAATAGCCTAGGGAGTACTATAAAAATGCTCAAGAAAATTTGAAGTGACATTGAGAGCAAAAGTGACAGTTGGAAGGGATTATGGCATGCTGATTTTCCTAGCCAGAATCTCTTCATTTTTTTTAAAAAAAGAGCATAATCTTTCAAAAATGTTATGGGTTTTATTCTAAGAACATAACAACTTCAAAGAATGAAGGCCATATTATCTAGCATTCTTCACAGCCTTTTGGTTGCATGTGTCTTGTATGTTCTAGGGTTCATCATGGCCATAAATCCTGAATTTTTTTCCTCACAGGTTTCTTGAGTAAAGTAGGGTTGATACAACCAAGAGTGTCAAAATCAAGGCCCGTGGGCTAGATCTGGCCCATGGGGTACTTACATCTGGCCCATGGGCCCTCCCTGAAAAGAGTGAAGGATGGACGTGTGATGCTTTTGCCAGCAAAAATGGAGCTCAGGAAGGTAGCATGCTACCCTCCCAAGCTCTGTTTTCGCTGGCAGAGGGTTGCAGGAGGCCCCAACAGCTGACCCCAAACTAGCCACACCCATAGACCCCATGCCCCCCTCAAGGTCAAACACAACCCTGATGTGTCCCTCAATGAAATTGAGTTTGCAACCCTGATATAAAGTCAATGTTCAGGTCTACTTCTTAGAAACATAAGAGAAATTCTCAGCTTTGGTAGTCCTTAGAATAGAGGTCTCCAACCTTTCCAGCTTATTGCCCGCACCTGGTGTGTGGCACAGGTCCTCCACTTGCACGAATGAAACTTTGCACATGAGTGGAGGGTGCTTGCACTTGCATGCAAAGCTCCACTCACATGAGTGGCGGGCACCTTTGCACTTGTGTGTGAAGCTCCACTCGCACAAGTGGAGGTCCTTGAGCGGAGGACTCGTGTGTTCATGCTTGTCGCCACTCGTGTGGGTGGAGCTTTACACATGCACACTTACCCATCTCTCTCAGGGACCGGTTTTGAACAGGCCGCAGCCTGGTAGTGGTCTGCAGAAGGCAAGGCCAATGAAGATTTCTCCATTAAGCCTCATTTCATTCTTCCTAGTATTTTCTTTAATTAAAAAGCCACAATCCCCCAAACTTACCTAGTTTTACTTCTGCATTTTCAGTTAGCAAAACATTTTGGCCTTTAATATCTCGATGGATTACTTTGTGTTGATGGAGATGACTCAAGCCCTAGAGAAGTCAGTGAAAGACATAATACATATAAATATATTGTAAATAAAGATAATGTATTTATTTTGATTTTGAGAAAATAAAATTAAAGAAAATCCAGCATTGGTTAAGTAATAATATTTAAGATTATTGCACTGAGTTGTATATACTCCCTTTTATTTGCTTCTATTTTATGTTATACCGTTGTTAAATGCAATAAGCATGGAATGGAAATTTACATGTTTACACACATGCATAATACAGGTGAGTAAAATTTATAAGTCAAAGTTTAATATCCTTTCCCTTAAAATAATTGTTCAGCCATCCTCTATACAATGTACTATGAGCTGCAGTGGCGCAGTGGTTAGAATGCAGTACTGCAGGCTACGTCTGCCTCCAATTTGGCAGTTCGAATCTGACCAGGCTCAAGGTTGACTTAGCCTTCCATCCTTCCGAAGTCAGTAAAATGAGAACCCAAATTGTTGGGGACAATATGCTGACTCTGTAAAGCGCTTAGAGAAGGCTGTAAAAGCACTGTGAAGCAATATATAAGTCTATGTGCTATTGCTATTGCTACCCAACGTATAATGGGTAAGTGAGCACCTAATTTTGGGCAGACTGTTGGAAGCTGCTATCTGTCATCAGACCACTGTTTCACAACTTCAGTTGGCTGGGAATTCTGGGACTTGAAGTCCACGCAACTTAAAGTTGCTCAAGTTGAGAAACAGTGCAACAGACAGGAAACCATATAGTTTGGAGCATAGCTCAAACTTAAGCAAAACATTTGAAATGTTTGATAATGGGTAGAGAGTTTAGCAGAAAATTGAGGCAACTGAAACTTTTTCACAGAAAATCGGCCAATCACTCAAGCAGTCGTCTTTTCTCTTACCTCTTCATAACATGGCATTGTTAAATAGATACTTGGTTTCAGTTATTAAAGTCCTACTACAGGTACTCCTCAACTTACAACAGCTCATTTAGTGACCATTTGAAGTTACAATGGCCCTGAAAAAAAGTGACTTATGAACATTTTTCATACTTAGGACTGTTGCAGAATCCCAGTGGTCTTGTTATCAAAATTCGGACCCTTGGCAACTGACTCATATTTTTTTCAATTGCACTGTGCCGGGGTCATGTGATCTTCCTCTGCGCCCTTCAGCAAAGTCAATGGGTAAGGGCAGATTCACTTAACAACCATGGTACTCACTTTACAACTGCAGTGATTCACTTAACAGCTTGTGTCAAGAAAGGTTGTAAAATGGGAAAAGGTTCACTTAGCAGCTGTCTCACTTAGCAATAGAAATGGTGGGCTCAATTGGTGGCCGTAAGTCAAGGACTACCTGCATTCCTTTTCTCTAAACTGTATTTCTTTTAAAAATAATTAAATGTATCACAGGAATTCTATAACCATATTTTTTCCGAAATACCTCTGCTTTTTTAAATCTTGGCATTACTGTATTCACTTTCAAGAGTATATTTTTACAGAAGGACTGTACAAGGTTCAACTCTGAAAAGCTTTTATGCTTTTGTTTTAAAAGTCTTCTTACCCCTTAGTATTAAGGGTCAGAAAATGAAAATACAATCTAAAAAGTTCCCAAAGTGATGTTGGCTATTTAGAATTGTAACAAAGCACTTGTTTTGTTTAGAGTAAACAATATAGCCGCAACACTTTAACAAATTGCTATGAAAAGCAAGCAACAGTGTGATTCTTCAACAGTGGTACTTTTATTTCTGTCTCAAGAAGACATGATTGCACAAGCTAGAACTTACTTTTATAAACTGAAAAGTCAGTTTCTTAAAACAGGTGAGTAATGAATCAGGTTCAAATTATTGAATTGTTCCCTCATTGCCACAAATTTAAAAATGTCAAAAAAATCAGCCAAGGCTGTCAGCTCAGTCATCTGGCTGTCAACTCTTTCAGGTATACCTGACTAAAATTGTTCTCCACTTTTATTTGCTATCCAATTGCTTAAAGTATAACTTGCTTTTTTTTAAAAAAAAGTTATACACTCACAACATAGGCAGGTATTTATTGACTGAAAGAGAAACCAGGTATATTCAAAATATGAATCAAAGATGAGAAAGGATTTCTTTATTATTGTTCTTTATTATTGTTAAATCATGCCGAACTCTTCTTGAGACGATGAACCACAACCATGCTAGGTCTACCTGTCCTCCGTAGCCTGGAAAGGATTTCTACCTCTCAATTATTTAACACTGACTTTTATCTTTTCCCCTTCTCAAGTTATCATGCTGCAATAAAAAGACCTTAGAGCAACCTATAAAGAATCAATGTGGTTTAAAAGCTTTTTAAGATGTCAAGTTCCTGCATTCGACATCTTTACTTCCAGATAACTAAAGGTTGTTTGCAGGAGGCATTAACTAGTGGATCTCAGAATAGCTGTATCAGATTGAATTCAGCAGATCCTAAAAAAGTTCACCCACTTCTGAAATAAAACTGTGCTGGCTTGATATTCACTTGGATCTATGGCCACTGAGAGGATTCCCACAGAAAACCTAGCTATGGTGTGAACATTTTATGGATTTCCATAAAAGAAATAAAAAAAAATAGCGTCAAAGAGATTGTAATATATGGCAAGTCTTCCGCTTCTTGTGGAACTTGCATATCATAGCTGACTTTGCTATAAAAAGTGAAATGATTTTCATATAGAACATAATAACATCCAGAAATGATCTGATTCTCACTCTTTAAGAATTTGTAGGAATTCTAAATGATAGTTAAAAAAAATCATTTCCCAATTTTCTTGTTCCATTTGAGTCCCTCTATGTGAAAAGATCTTTCTTCATTCCTGTTTTGAATGATTTTCCTCATTTCTATAAAGGGATCTGGAACTCTAATTTTAATACATCTGCTCCTATTAATACTAAAGGAGTTTTCTTTCTAAAAGAAAATAGCAGATTTGAAAAACGAGCAAGGAAGAGAGCCAAATAACTTTCATTCATTCATTATAAATTGGATTTAAGTGACTATGAATCATTCATACAACTCTCTAATGATTAGCCACCAAGCATTTGGAACCATCTTCTATCTTGTGACTCTTTTCTCAGCAACTAAATTCAGAACAGAGATTAGGTCCAGGCATAACATTAGCTCTTAGCAAATTAATTTATAAGCTCAGGATCAAGCCTTAGAAATGAAAATTCCCCCTTTTCTCACCACTGTCTTCCATTCTAACCCTCACATTCTACTCCAAAGTTTTAGTTACTATAGGTAGTTCTCAACTTACAACCACAATTGAGCCTGGAAATTTTGCCATAAATTGTGGTCATAAGTCAAGTTGCCACATGGGTGACCTTATAGTTTATAATGAGTTTATAATGGTGGATAAGCAAATCGTATGGTTGTAAGTCAGAATCCAGCTGATCCAACAGGTGTTTTTCTGTCATTTTGGGGCAAAAACATGGCAAAATGTAATCACATGACACTGCAACTAGTCATAAATACAAGCTTGTTGCCAAGTGTCCAAAATGTGATCACGTAACCAGCCGGGTAATACAACAGTTGTAACTTTGAGAATGGGTCATCAGTAACTTTTTTCAACTCCATTGGAACTTTGAACAGTCATTAAGTGACCAGTCATAAGTTGAGGACTACCTGTAATTAGAGAGAAAGAGATATTGAAGCCTTAAAGAAACAAGTTACTCAGCCTTAAATAAATAACTTACCATTTTTATACTACAACAGCATATAAAGAATATCTAAAAATGTTGAGAGACTACTGTAAATATACCCGCTCAATTCTATCTAGATATAAAAACAATCTATTTCTAACGAACAAATAATAAATGATAGACAATAGGAACAGGAGGCAAGAGGGTCTCAGGAAAACCTTTATTTTTTACTTTTTTTGTCACTAACTCTCTCTGGTATCTACTGCCTATTTCCATCAAAATTTATCCTCTTGTTGGCTAGAACCGTGATTCTATACAAGAATTCATGGTATTTATTATTAATCAGGTAGTGATTTTAGTAAAGAACTGAAATTGTCAATATAGGTGTGTTAATGAACCATGGTTTGAACTCAGCAAGCGAGAGGAATTCAATTCACCTGAAAAAAATAAAATAAAGGGAGCACACACACACACACACACACACACACACAGAGAGAGAGAGACAGAGACAGAGACAGAAACAGAGACAGAAGCAGAGACAGAGACAGAGACAGAGACGCATATGTTGGCTTCCGATAAACTGGTTGGAAGGAACTAGCATTGTTTCTGTACGAGTTCGATGCAATGAAATCAGAGAGAGATGGTTAGCTCACTTTGGATACATACCCGTAAAATCTCCCTGCAGATATAGGCAATCCACTCCTCCTTCAAAGTGTTCCCTTTTGTGTTCTTGATCAGATCAGTAACAGATCCAGCACCACAGAACTCCATCACCAGCTGGCAAAAGAAACAAAAATGCAATTATTATAATTAATAAGAAAGTGTTTTCCAGGTTGCATTAAGCTAGCAGAATGCATTTAATTCACAGTGGTCTATAATGCTAAAAGAAAAAAAAAGTTAAATAATCTCTCCCCCTCACTCCATATCTATCTATCTATCTATCTATCTATCTATCTATCTATCTATCTATCTATCTATCTATCTATCTATCTATCTATCCCTGCCAGTCTCTCTCTCTCTCTCTCTCTCTCTCTCTTTCTCTGTCTATCTATCTATCTATCTATCTATCTATCTATCTATCTATCTATCTATCTATCTATCTATCTATCTATGCCAACTCCTCCACTTACAATTTCACCGTGGCAGTTTGGAGACCCAGAAGAAAGCAAAGAAACGCCCTTTCTTGAGGAAAGGGCAAATATTATTACTTAAATATTGTTGCAAAATAGTGTTCCAATGGCGAAGGGGCTGCCACAAAGAAGTGGGGGGGAAGTCAACCTATTCTCCAAAGCACCTGGAGGTAGAACAAGAAGCAATGGATAGAACTTAAACTTAGAACTAAGGAGAAATTTCCTGACAGAACAATTATTCAGTGGAACGAGTTGCCTCCCAAAATTGTGAGTGCTCCATCACTGGAGGTTTTTAAAGAAGAGATTGGACAACCATTTGTCTGAAAAGGTACAGGATTTCCTGCTTAAGCAGCGAGTTGAACTAGAAGCCCTCCAAAGTCCCTTCCGACTCTATTATTCCGTCCACAATTTCACAACAATTCACAATGCCTGTTTTGTTAGGGTTTTTGTTTTTTTGCAATAACCATTGAGAGACACAGAAGAAATATTCTCAGTTAACAGATCAGGAAATGAAGCTGAAAAATAACTGTTATTTTTCAGGACTCCCAGGAAGCTAATGGCACAAGATGGGTTGGAAAGCTGATCTTTGAAGCTGCAGAACTTCTATGAAAGCTTCAGAAACCAGTTGAAGCCAAAGCTACACCCACACTGCTGCATATATTTGTGGAAATGAAGGGTGGTTGATTATCCTCTTAAAATAATAAAAAAGAAAGAAAGACTGGAACATCATAAACAAATAAGGAAACGGCTTGAAAGCCTCTGACTAAAGCCATGATTCAGATTTCATAGTGCGTGGAACTTAAATTAATCTTCATGCAAAGTAATTATTTTTCCATTATACCTCTAAGGCCAGGTCACATTTCGATGAACACATCCTGGCTTGATAAATCAGTATATACAGAAGCTTCACAAACCTGAACAAAGGCACTTTTGTCTTTCTTTTGCATGAAGAGCAACCAAACTGAGAAGCCGCAATTAAGTATGTCTTTTCTACTGCAGAACTATGAACTACAGTTAGTTTCCAAACAAATCGACTTTGCTTTAAGTCAACCCATTAACCATAGGATTTTGTTCAAGTCGAGCACAAAATTATCACTAAACAGTAACTTCCCAATTTGGTTCACTTCACATACTCAGAAACTGTAGGATAGTAAGTATGTTAAATTAAAATATATTAGTCCTCTATATACCAAGATGTTTGAAAAGATATCTCCTTTTTTAATATATTCATTGACAGTGTAAGAATCTCTTGCTTCAAAAGACTTTTGACATTATTCTTCACATTTACATATTGCTATAAATATTCTATTCTACTGGCTCCCAACCTTTTGGGCACCAGGGACTAGTTCTATGGAAAAAGTTTTTTCTGAGGATGGAGGAGGTGTGATTTTGCATGTTGCCTGCATTTGTTGTGGTTTGTCGACTGCCAGCGGAGAGGGCAGTTGAGACAGATGAGTCAGAGGAGATGAAGGGGTTGTCTCCGTTACCATTGGTGCCGGTGGAAGGCTCTGAGGAGCAGAAAGTTATCAGAAGGTTGCAAAAGTGATTACATAACTGCGGGACACTGCAACCATCATAAATATGAGTCAGTTGCCAGGCTTCTGAATTTGATCATATGACCATGGGGAAACTGCAATGGTCGTAAGTGTGAAAAACAGTCATATGTCATTTTTTTTCAGTGCTGTTGTAACTTCAAATGGTCACTAAATGAACTGTTGTAAGTTAAGGACTACTTGTATCTGAATAGCAACAGCTGTTTGATTGGCAGGCGTTGAGTATCAGCTGAGTCATCCTAATGATGGTAGAGGATCTATCTATATGTTACACAATAATGTAATGCCTGATCATTGGGAATCAGTAATTCGTATGGCAGACAGGACTGGAAAATTATAATTTAGCATGTTCAACATCATTCAGTTACAGGGAATTGCAAACCAGTGTTAAATGCACAGCTATTTACTGTAAAATACACCTGAACATGACCTCATGTTGGCTTCAAGACATTTAATTAGGGTTGGGCAATCCGCTGGCTTCCATTTTTTAGATTCAGTTCCCATCACCACCAGTTGGATAAGTCAATGGTGAAATTTCTGGAGAGTTATCATCGTCGAAACAAGTGGAAGGCAGTAGATTACATCAAACATGGTCCTAGGGACCTGCTCTTTTATTGAACAAATTCACCCTCAAATAGCCTAACAACTCCCAAGAGACTATCTGCATGAATCACAATAAGCAAGGACTTGGGTTTGGAGCATGCCAATATGGAAATAATGAAAACACAGAGCGAGCATTCATCTTCTTTATTGAGATCCCAAAGCTAGTAAGCAGGCATTTTCATATACACTGTTCAAAATTAAAATGTGGTGAAAAATGCAGTCCATGGCACATTGCATATAAAATAAAAAAGAAAAGAAATGTGCTATAAACATTAAGCATTCAGTTTGTCCATTAATCTGGAGTAACACATCCATTGTGCTGCCAAAATATTCAACCAAAGCCATCTGCCCTTATTTCTATCTTCTTGAGGTTAATTGCTTTTAACAAGAAAATGCATCAGCCAGCCCTTGATGGAGCTACATTTCTCAAAATTGGAAAAGTAGGGCTGAGATTTCTTTGAGCTTGTGATCCTAATATTCATGCAATGTAATACTTATACGTAACCTGTTGCTAAATTAGACGCAGTGAATGCTTAAAAAAAAAGATACTAAAAGACTATTAATGAATCTGACAAGCTCTTTACCTGTGTTAAAAACTCACCCAACCAAATTGGCTTCTGATTTTAAAAAGTCCCTGGGATTCAGCCGTTGAGGTGTTGCATTAGAATTGGGAAGACCCATCCTAGACCAAAGCATGCTCAACTTTATTGGAAAGTTCCTATTGTGTGTGTATGTGTGGGGGGGGGAATTGGATGAGGAAGTCCTTTGCAAACTAAATTGAGCTTCTGAAGCATCAATCTAAGAGAGAGATTGCTTTTGTGGTTCAGTCACTGGTTAAATAATAATAATAATAATAATAATAATAATAATAATAATAATAATAA